CTAGGAAGATGCATTACAAGAAGAAAAGTAAAGGAATTGTAGAATGAGCATTAGACATAGAATTGTTCCAAGCTTTGTTGTATTTTTTGGAGAAAAGGTTAAGTCTGGAACAATATACTCTATAAACAATAGAGGTAGAAATAGTAAATACAATTATAAACATTAAAAATAATTATTTCCATTTTTACATAGAAACAACTCAATACCAGTAGTATATCAAAAATAAGTGTAATAATCATAACTTGTGACAGCAATACTAAATCATTAACTCTAACATGTAATTGATTTGAGATGAAATGTTTCACAAATAATTTTTCAGCATATTTAGTAAAGCACTGACTAAATAAATATAATACAGAAACTCAATGTAGATAATAATTTCCAAAAAGAAGGTAAAAAATATTTTTAGACTCACAAATAAACCTCGGAAGAGGTTCAGAGATTTTTTTTTTTCAGACCTTAAAGCGTGTTTCTTTAGAGATGCCTCTGGGCCGGAGAGTCACCATTCGGTTAAAAATATAATTCTAGCTGTGTCAGCCTATTTAAAATCTTAGAATTCCTGGATTGGGCAGCAGCACTAGTGGCCATGCGACATCTCATCCTCTGTACAAGGGCTTACTGGCTCCAGAGTGATACAACAATGTCGGGATCCTGGCCAATCGACCGGGGCAAATTGTAGTAGGGCACACTGGAGTACATCCCCTGAAGTCCTTGAATTTACTCCCTAAAGGGGAGGGAGTGGATAGGGGAGAATCCTCTGCCTGGCCCCCTGCTCACCACTGAATCCCTGCTGCTGTGCCACCACTGCGTGAGAAAGAATTTTGTAGAGCAGAGCTGGGAAGTCTGTTGGACAAGCAGTTCTCAGTTTATTGGCCCCTACCCAGGGGTTCTTATACACACACTTGGGGGTGGGCAATCCCACACTGGAAGCGGGGGAATGGCACATATCGCATAGTTCTCCCACTTCTCTAGTACAGTGTGCTTCTCTCTTAGGGCTCTTATAGATGTCAGTTAATGATTTACATATCCTGTTCTTAGGGCCTGGTAGGTGGGCACAGTCATGTCCCTCATTGTCAACCAGAGTGTCTGCGTGTGGGGCGTACTGGGGGGGGGGGGGGGGGGGAATCTGGGTCTTTGTAAACACGGCTGGCTCTTGTTTCCAGGGGTAGGGGATTTAGTCAAACTCTCAGGCTAGCTGCTGAGACCCAACACAACATTCTTCATCCACTATCCTCTAAGGAAACTTTTTTTTATCATCTTTAGTGGATTATACAAAACAAGCAATACAAAATAAATTATCTAGTTACTGCTTAGGGGGCAGCAAAATATGATGGTGGGAAGGTGTAATGGTGGTGGTATTGGTGTTGGAATATTAAGTGTAATCATTTATTGTGAACAGCTTTATAAAAGTAAAATAAAATTAAAAATATATATGTCTTGTCCCAGATATTGATATCTTCTAACAAATAATAAAATTTATCATTCTTTCCTTCCAAAGTGGACATCATCCTGTAACTGTTGTGAAGAATAGAATAAGATGAAAATGATACTACATATATTATATATACTATATATTTCATATATATATATGCTGTATAGAACTATATATACAATATAATTCCAAAACCAGATCACCAAGTAGTATGACTTCTTGGTATGTCCTCTCTCTAGAATCTGGCTCTTAGAATGCTGGCATCATGCTATCAGAAAGGCTAATCATATAATGAACTAATAAATCAAGAACCAGCAAGCTTTACGGTAATTTGTTCTCTTAAGTTTTGATCCACACAATTATTAGACAAAAATAAGATGTTTGTTGTTACTATGATTGAGGTCATGTGTTTTACAGCCATACACACTGACATAGAAACTTTGGTTTCCCAGAACAAATAGTTCCCTAACAAAATATAAAACAATATCATGGATTTTGCAATCAAATAATTCTAAGGAGATTATTTTGTAAGCCTCATAAATTATAAAGCTACCCATGACGTATTTGATATGCCAAAAACAGTAACAAGTCTCACAATGTTACTGGGCCCACTCAAGCAAATTGATAAACAACAGGAGGATAGTGACAGTGACAGTGATATAAATTATAAAGATAATGTCAGTGAGGACTTGAATCAAAATAAAAAATATTATTCTAAATTAAATAAAATAATGTGTAATGTGACAAAAATCAACAGTACATTTTTAACAACAGTACCACTATCATTGCTTTACGTTTGTAATACTATCTATATCATACCCTTTATCAGAGTGCCAATAATCCTCCACCGCCATTCTAAAGTCTCTTGCACATTTAGCACCTTCAGATCACAGCTTTATTGACTGGTTTTCAACAACAGTCTTGAGTTTGGTGACATGTAAGTAAAAATTTAATCAAATGAATTCAATTGATCTAACAGGAGTACTAGAAAGCGTAAAAGTACTATCTTGCTACTTTTTTCTGCTTTATTGAATAGTATGAGAAGTATCAGGTACATTAAAGAATAATTGGTTAAATGAAAAAGAGTCAAGCAATGTAAGTAGAGCAACAGCATGGCACTGATTTCTAGTCTCATCCAATATTTTCACACTAAGAATTTAAAACAGGGATGGAGAAATAGTAGAGCTAAGGCACTTACCTGGCATGGAACTGACCCTGCCCCTAGCACCACACATGCCTCCCAAATACCTCCAGAAATGATTCTTGAGCACACATCTAGGAATAAATCCTGAGCACCTTTAGGTGTAACCTAAAAACACACTGTCACTGTCACAGTCACTGTCACTGTCCTGCCGTTGTTCATCAATTTGTTCAAGCAGGCCCAGTAACATTGTGAGACTTGTTACTGTGTTTGGCATATCGAATACGTCACGAGTAGCTTGCCAGACTTAGCCGTGCGGGCGGAATACTCTCAGTAGCTTGCCGAGCTCTCAACACAAATAGCAAAAAAAAAAAAAAAATAGTGCAGATATCAAACCCAAGATAGATGATTTAAGTTTTGTACTAGAATTCCAGAAAGTAATGGTGAATGGTTGTACTCAGAGTATCATTCACACCATCAAAATATCGCAGAATCTTAGAAGCGTGACTCTCAGTTAAAAGAAACTCCTCTTAAAATTTAACTACAAAATCCCAGAGCATTCCTAGGGAAAACTCAATTTAGAAAAAGCATAGTAAACAGAAGATTCCATAGGTACATAACTTGTATTTAATGTCTATAAATCAGTGAATTATGAATCTATTATTAAAAATAATCATATCATAAAGTATAATTAAAACAGATATTTGAGCCTCAACGTTTCAAGGGCAATTAACATGCTAGGAATTAACTTCATTTCAAAAACGACCTTCTCTTTTATGGAAATGGGAAATATGAATCAGATGACAGCCCAGGAGTCCAGAGAATTGATCCAAGAGTTACTCTGAGTCATTTGCAGTCAAAAGAACTGATCATTGGTCAAGAAATCACCAACAGATGTCTAGCTATATTCCAGAATTGCTATGAACTACTGGCACCTATGTATTTAATGTAGTTAATGAGCCTTGTCCACAGGTAGACCTACCTGATACAGATGATGAGATTCTTGACCTCCAGTCGGTGACTGAGACATACCAATGCAGTATGATACTTCAGGGATTTTACAAAGAAAGATGATCTACTAATCACATAAAAATGTTCTATATAAAGCCATAAGGTAAAATATTGAAGATTTTATTTTCTAAAATGGTCACAGCAATAATTCTACTCTTGTCCCCCCACCCCATAGAATATTTATAATGCCATTAAGAGTCTGTTTTCCATATCCTTGACTCCATGAGGGATTAACAAAAACTTATCAGCACAAGGGGTCATTTTCCATGACTTAGCTCTTTTTCTTAACGGTTTTAACACAATATTCTTATATAAACTACAATTATAAAGTGTATTTGATTTGGTGGATTTATCTATCAAAAATGACTATCATAAAAATAGGAGTATTAGCTAACACCTACATCCTGTTACAAAATTAATATTGTAGCTTGTAATGAGCACAATCAAGATCTATTTTTCCGAAGTTGCTTTCACGTATGTAGTATAGTATTGCTGACTATAGTTACTTTATTTTTCTTACTATTCTTATACATAAAACTTTTATCCTTAAATAGCTTTTTATTTCCCCAAAATCTAGATCCTGACAAACCCTATTGTACTGTCCCTTTCAAGCAGTTTAGTTTTTTTAATTATCTTTTTTTATGGTTGAAAAATATTCCACTGTAGAAAAATGTGAATGTGTCTGTAAACGCACAGCATTTTTATACATTCAGTAATGGGCTCTAATGTTTTCTTAAATTTACTATTATAAACAATTCTACCATAAACATGTGTTGTGCATATCTTATGATTTAGTGTTTTCATTTTCTGTAGTAAAACTTCCAGAAATAGAAATGCTGGAAATTATGGTAGTTGCATTTTAATTTTTCTGAGAGTCTGAATACAACTTTTTATAGTGGCTGCTCTACTTAATATTCCGTAACACCTATACAGTTTACTTTTCCTATACATCCTCACTAGAACTTTTTTTAGAACTTATGACATGCATGAGGTGATTTTTCCATTGTTGTTTGACATCTATTTTCCTGACATTTAATAATGATATATTTTTTAATAAATAGTCCACTTTATTTGGCTCAGAGCAGGAGTAAATAGGTCTTGAGAATCTCTGTGAACTTTGTGATTTTCTTTCCACATTCTTTCCACCTGTTTCTGTAGCCTAATGAGCTTCATCTTGGCCTTCTCCTTCCTCTTCTCCTCCAGTAGCTCTTAGTGCCTGGTACATCCTGCCAATGTCATGAGCTAAGAATTCCAGATATGCAAACCGGTGTGGGGATGAAGGGGATGAAAATACAGAGACAAAAGGTGGGTACCAGTGAAAAGAGGCTGACAGAGGGAACATCAAAGACTTGGGGTTTTAGCATCCTTTCTCACAGCAAGGTCGAAAGGCTAGAATGAGTTTGCTAAGGTCGTACACTCCAGCCATCAGCTGAGACTTTGAAATCTCTGCAGTGCCCGCTGAATCGCCTGCAGACCATCATGAGGAAAAGCCATCATCTTCCAATAATGTTGGAAATTTTAATGCACCTATTAGCTATTTGTATGTGTCTTTTGGAAAAATATCCTGGCAGAAATTCTGGTCATTTTAATCAAATTGTCCATTTCCTAAAATAGTTCTTGAAATATTCGTTGAAATGTTTGAAACATACGAATTTTAAATTAAGAAGTAATGAATTTCTACTTATTGTGAATCATTATGAATAGTCATTTTAATTATGTATGTTTATGCAATTTTCTTTATACTTTCTTATGCTTTATTTGGAAATAGTTTGTGATTATTTTAATAGTGTGAGAAAAATTTTTGGTCACATTATAAACACTAAATTAAGATGAAGATAGTACCTACTATTATTGTCAGAGAGATTACTCAATTTGCCCAAGGTTCTGTAGTTAGTAAGAAAGCCACACAGTTAAGTAATGATTGAATTAAGATAGTGTGTGGCTTGATGGTAGCCATCATCTTAAAAGCCACTTCCCTAAGATTTCAAAAACTTATAAAATGTGTCTATTCAAAATATTTACTTTAATGTAGCGCTGTAGCACTGTCTTCCCGTTGTTCATTGATTTGCTTGAGCAGGCACCAGTAACGTCTCCATTGTGAGACTTTTTACTGTTTTTGGCATATCGAATATGTCATGGGGAGCTTGCCGGGCTCTCCAAGAGGGATGAAAGAATCTAACATGGGTTGAACGCGTGCAAGGAAAATGCCTACCAGCTGTGCTATCTCTCTAGACCACTTACTTTAATATTTACTTTTATTTTATTACCACTAAATCCAGAGCCATAGCACATCAGGCTGGAGCAATAGCACAGCAGATAAGGCATTTGTCTTGCACACGGCCAAACTGGGTTGGATTCCTCCGCCCCTCTTGAAGAGCCTGGCAAAATATCGAGAGTAACTCGCCCACATGGCAAAGCCTGGCAAGCTCCTCATGATGTATTAGATATGTCAAAAACAGTAACAACAAGTCTCACAATTTGTTGTAAGATATTACTTTTGCCTGCTTGAGCAAGTCAATGAAAAATGGGAGGACCCAATACCCAACACCCAATACCATTAGGTCATATGCTATAACCACTCATTTTGCCAACATCTAGCACAGCGGGTAGGGCGTTCGCCTTACAAGCGGCCAACATGGCCAACCCGAGTTTGATTCCTCCGCCCCTCTCGGAGAGCCCGGCAAGCTACCGAGAGTATTCGATATGCCAGACACAGTAACAACCAAGTCTCCAATGGAGACGTTACTGGGCCCGCTCGAGCAAATCGACGATCAACGGGAGGGCCTTTACCTTTACCTTTACCTACTTTCTTTTCAATATTTAGGCATAAGAAAATTGCCTTCAGTTACGGAAATAGTTCTACAGAAACACAATGTGCAATGCCATATAATTTTAAGGCTGTGCAGGGATTAGGGTAGCAGAATTCAAATACTCACAAATTCCATCAGCGATCGAAAAAACCTTAATTTGATTAAGAACATGTCTCCTTGGATTCCAGCTGCCTTATCCAATCCTAGTTGTCTATGTGGTCTTGAATAATGTTGGTAGTTTCTGTATTTCAAGTATCTCATCTGCAAGGTGAAGAATAATAATACTATAAATACATAGCATGAAGATTGTACTCGAGTTAATGAACTGATATACAAAAATAACTCAGGATAATATTGAGCGGTAAGTACAAATGCTTATCTACTTCTTATTCCTTTTAAGACACATTTTATCTGAGGCACTTTGGTAATTGAAGTTTAAGCAAGTAAATTTTACTGGTATCACTTCTAGGAGCCTTAAGGGGCCCATACGAGGTGTCAGGGATCAAACCCAGGTTGGCTCCATGTAAGCCTAGCAGCTTCCCTGCTTCAGCCCTTTTCACTAAAACTTTATTTATTTGTTTATTCATTTGTTTAATTTGTTCTTTTTTAAAATGGAATCGTCATGATATATAGTTACAAAGTTGTTCATAATTGGGATTCAGTCATACAGTGTTCCAACACCCATCCTTTCACCAGTGTGCTGCTTCTGCTTCTTCTTTCTCTTCCTCTTTCTCATCTTCTCCTTCTTCTCCTTCTCCTTCTTCTCCTTCTCCTTCTTCTTCTTCCTCTTCTTCTTCTCCTTCTTCTCTTTCTTCTCCTTCTCCTTCTCATTCTCCTTCTTATCTTTTTTCTCTTTCTCCTTCTCCTTCTCCTTCTCCTTCTCCTTCTCCTTCTCCTTCTCCTTCTCCTTCTCTTCTTCTCCTTCTTTTCCTCCTCCTCCTTTTCCTCCTCCTCCTCCTCCTCTTTTTCCTCCTCCTCCTCCTCTTACTCTCTCCTTTTGACATTATGGTTTGCAATACAGATACTGAAACATTATTATAATTGTCACTTTACGTACTTTCTGCATTCAGTTGTCCAGAGTGATCTTTTCCAGGTATCATTGCTGTATTGGTCCTTTCTTTATCCTAACTGTCCTCCTTCCACCATCAGTGAGGCAAACTTCCAACAAGTGCACAAGTCCTCCTAGCCTTTGTTTCTACTCACCTGGGATGTTAGTCTTTATTGTGTTTTTATATGCCACAAATGAGTGAAATACCAGATGAACAAACCATAGTACATCTAATCTACACTACAGTGGCATGTGGAAAAGTGAAATTCCCTTATAAATGAATAGACATGGAGATTATTCTGAGTGAAATGAGTCGGGGGGGGGGGGATCTACTAAAATTTTAAATTTATAAAAGCAGAATTCAATAATAGAAGAATAATGTTCTATGTATGAAAAGTTTAACTATTTAATATTTTAGAAAAAATAATTAAACAGGGCTGGAGCAATAGCATAGCAGGTAGGGCATTTGCCTTGCACGCAGCCAACCCGAGTATGATTCCCAGCGTCCCATATGGACCCCTGAGCACCACTAGGGGTAATTCATGAGTGGAGAGCCCAAAGTAACCCCTGTGCATCGCCGGGTGTGACCCAAAAAGCAATATAAATAAATAAATAAATAAATAAACAAGGGGCTGGAGCGATAGCACAGCAGGTAGGGCATCTGCCTTGCACACGGCCAACATGGCCGACCTGAGTTCGATTCCTCTGCCCCTCTCGGAGAGCCCGGCAAGCTACCGAGAGTATTCGATATGCCAGACACAGTAACAATGATAAAACTTTTGAACTTTATCAAAAGAATTTTGAAAAAAATGCTCACTTATTTAATTTTCTCCAAGATAAAAATAAGTGCTGGTTTCTTTCTATTTGTAGTTAAACTTTCAGAAGTCAGCTGAAATTAAAATAAATGGTTTTATTTGTTTTAAAAGTGAATGTTCTAAAAAAAATTAAAAAGTGAATGTTCTTAATAATGTATTTAAAATGGCAAGTTAGATCCTTGCATATTGTATATTTTGCAAATATATTAATTGTAGGAGCTATACCATATAAGCCTGTTTGACAGGGGTTTTGTTGATTTCATTTTTGTTTGTTTTGGGGGCCCAGTAAATGATGCTCAAGGTTTACCCTGACTAGCACTCCAAGATCACTTTCTGGAAAATCATACCCCGCCTGGGATTGAATTGGGGTCTGCCACAAGCAAGGCAAGAGCCTTAACTCCTATATTCTTCCTTCCAGGTAACATTAATCGCTGGATAACAACACTGGTCTTGCTCAGAACAGATGCAGATCCCCTTCCTTATGGCTCAGTTCCAGAAGCCTCCACACCTGACCTCCCGATTAAAGGCCCATGGCAAAGCATCTACAATGTGTTGCATATACTGACAATTAACAGGCCTACTTAGCAAACTTCACATAGCTAATATTATATGTCCTGTCACTTCACTGTCTGTATTGGTTTATTGTTTGTAGAATACTTTGGTATAGCTTTTAGGACTTTCTAAATCTAAAAGCTTTAGGGTATCCTGTTTTCTATCTTGTCATCTATGAATAATTGTAGTTTGTCATCTTTTCCAATTTGAAGTCATTTATCCTTCTTGCCTAACTGCTATGTCACATAATTATAAACTAAATTGAAATTGAATAATAATGGTGAAAATGGTGCTCCTTGTCTTATGACTGATCTTAGAAAAAAGATTTTAATTTTTCATAATTATTATCTTAGCTGCAGGTTTCCAACATATGACCTTTAATATATTGAGGTAAATTATAGATCCTTTGTCATAAACTGTCCATGAATATGTGCATTTGTATCTAGGTTTTCAATTCTGTATGATTATTTTGAGGTTCTATCTTTATTCCAGCACAATACAGTTTAAATTACTATAACTTTATAGTGTAAAGTCATGAAATTAACATATATCATATTTATTTTCTCTTAAAATTATTTTGTCTATTTATTCCTGGCTCTGCACAGAGTTCGCTTCAGTAAGGCTCAGGGACAATACAAAGCACTAAGTATTTCATGCAATTCTACTGTATAAAAGGCGAGTGCCTGATCCACTGTTCTCTTTCTCCAGTCCTAGTCAGAGAGTTTTGTAGTTCCTTATACTTTTTAATAGAGTTTGTTCTAAATCTATGAAGAATGTCATTAGAATCTTTGAGTGTATTTTTTATTTTATTTTTAATTTAGTTTTATTTAAACATCACGATTTACACAGTTGTTCATAATACAATTGCTTCAGGCATGCAATGACCCAAGACCAACCCCAGCACCATTGTGATCTTTCTTCTGCCAATGGCCCCATTTTCTCTCTCACCGACCAGGATTCTCTATTAGCAGGTACATGACAAATGTACTTCACATTGCTTGTTCCAAAAAATAAATGAAGGAATGGTAAATAGGATTATCAGAATATCAATCAACAAAAGTCAATTTGTAATCAGCATTTTAATGGGGATTGCAGTCAATCTGTATAGTACTTTGGGTAAGATGGTCATTTCAGCAATAAAAAGAAATCTATCTCTGTTTTTGGATCTTGCCATTTTAATAACTATGTATCTTGGTGTTAATCCCTTTGGGTTCATTTTTATTGGCACTATTTGGGACTTAAGGATTAGTACCTTGATCTACTTTTCAGATTGAAAA